CAATGCGGGGGCGGCGGTGGGTGGGGCGAGCTCCTCGGCAGGCATGTGCCAAACGGTGGGGCCCGCCTGGGCGGCGGGCGGCACGGCGCGGCTCGGCGCGTGGACCTCGGTTGACTACACGCGCGGCTGCTTGGCAGTCGCGCGTATTTCTTCTGGGGTGGCATGAGTTGTGCCGAGCAGAACATCGACACCCGAGGTCCCTTCGCCAAAATTGTCTTCAGCAGGGCGTTTTTGGCGACGGTTGGTTACCCGGTCCGAAGTTCCGGGATCGCCGATATTTGCGGGGGTGTTCGCCTCGCGAGTTGGTGCAGAATTGGCGGGAGTCATTGCCGATAGGTTATGTTGCAAAATGTCAGTTAGTAATGTCGATGGTGCCCTGAAGCGTGGAAGTGACTGAGTTTTCGCCAGGTTGGACGAGAACAAAAAACAAGAACTAGGAACTCAAATGAGGGAAACTCAAATGAGTTGAACTAGAAATGAAGAACGTGGGTGAGGCCGAGAGGCCTCACGTTCCTCTTTTAAATGCAAAAGAGGGTTAGGTGCGCTTCGCCGCTGCCTTTGCTGCGTTGGCTCTTGCTACACTATCATAATACACATTTTTAGAAAGCGCTACACGCTTTTAAAAAATTACATACTAAAAATCCTTGTTAGGTCTTTTCATTATTAACTTTGATTACTCACAAGTTCACGTACTCAGGTTATTCAACCTTGACTGTTACTTTTTACAAGACTTCCGCTGTCTTACTAGTCTACCATTCCAGTAAAGATCCTGAACCAACACTTGAGGATTTCCAAGTGTTCGTGTTTGAAGTTTTATACTTAGTCTTCTACAACATTGGACAAGTTATTTCATCATTGACATCTGGAGAGCCTACAAGAAGAGGAAGCCCTACAGCACTGTCCCACATAGTAGAGCCCAGAAGAGTAGGAAGGGGAAAGAGGAGGAGGACGATTCCCCTGTAGTCCACGACAGCGTGCAGGCAGAGGAGGATGCTTAAGTAGGTCCCTAGTATGCCCTGTTCGAATGCGAGCTAACAGGTAATGAAGAAGGCCGCCATGAAATGGCGGCCGGGGTTTAGCTAGGGAAGAAGAAAAGTGTCGAGAGAGAAGGGAGATAGACTAGAAGAGAATGAAGTACGAGAAGGGGGTTGTCCCCCCTATAGTAGGATGCAGTTAGTAGCATAACTACCAAGCCTACAATTATATAAAATATAATTTTAACACACCCCCTAGGCTTGGTAGTGGCACGCCCACCCAACCCACACACACACCCCCTAACCCCGGACACCCTCATTCTCGTGAGCAGCCGGGTATCGACCCCTCGTGCTAGGCGATGACACCCACGGACGAGAAGCAGCTGGCCGCATTTGGGCGGCCTCAATGACGACAGCGGCGGAGCTCGTGCTCAAGGCGGCTGTGTCGATGAGGACAGGCAGCGACTGCGGCGGCTGAGGGCTCTCGGCGGTGTGGCACGGGCTGGCGATGACCGAGCCGAAGACAGCAGCTACGGCAGGAGCAGGAGGAGATGCAGGGGAGGGAGGGGTGGTGGGGCTGCTGTGGTGGGGCTGCAGGACTTCAGCGCGGCGCCATAGGCGCGGCGCTTACTGGCGAGCAGACGCGCTGCACGTCCAGCAGCTGCGGAGGTGAAACTCGGCGGTTGCAGCTCGACGACACCGCCGCGGCACTAGAATGACACCGCAGCAGCGTGGCGTCGGAGCCGCAGCTGCTCGTCGAAGTTGGGACGGCAGCATCAAGTGGCCGCCGCGACATCTTGATGCCACGGCGGCAGGCAGGCAGAAAACCGCTAAGGCGGCGAACGGAGCAGGAGTGCGCAGCGGAAACGTAGTGAGCAGGCCCGAGACAGACGGCCTGCTCTGATACCATGTTCGAATGCGAGCTAACAAGTAATGAAGAAGGCCGCCATGAAATGGCGGCTGGGGTTTAGCTAGGGAAGAAGAAAAGTGTCGAGAGAGAAGGGAGATAGACTAGAAGAGAATGAAGTACGAGAAGGGGGTTGTCCCCCCTACAGTAGGATGCAGTTAGTAGCATAACTACCAAGCCTACAATTATATAAAATATAATTTTAACATTCCCATGTTAAATTGTAAACCCTTGTCTTTAAAAGAGATAGTAATAATGGCCATTTAGTTTAACTGTGTGTTTTTTGTATGTAACTCGGTTTTTTCAGCGCAAAAAAATTACAACACCCTGATTGATCAGCGTAAGTTTCTTTGCGAGGCCTGAAAAAACAGTGAGGCAAGGGGGGGGGGACCCTGAGCGATCAGCGTGCCCCAAAACGAATCTGAGGCCTTGAGTGCAGGGCCTACTTTTGGATTTTTACTACTCTGATATTGGGGAGTTGCATTTAGCATTACTCTGAAAATCAGAGTGCATCCTCATAGTTTCATTGATTTGCCAGGGTTTTTTTCCATTTTGAAAAATTTACACTGATAGTGCAGAGGGGAAATTTCCACAACTCTGTGCTGCTGTTATGCACCCCGACAAAGGTTTTGTGATAGACGGATAGACGTACGTTCCATTTCAAATACACATACATACATTAGTCACCATGCTCATCCTCGTCTCCCTCTGAGGCACTCTCACAAGAGCCACTATCCTCCTCTGACTCATCATGCTCCTTGCCCTTGGCAGCATCGCTGCTCCTCTCATAAGCCACCACTTTTGCCTGTCTGCGGTTCTTCTGGCGTCTCCAGATCTCCACGATCTCAGGGTAGTCCATGTCGTACTCCTGGAGGCTAATGGTCATCAGGTCGTCGAGTCTTGCATCACACAGGCTCGTCCTCAGCCAGCTCTTGACGGCGTTCTGCCTGCTGAAACCGCGCTCGCACTCGACGGTGCTCAAGGGCAGAACCGCCATCGCCTGCCAGATCCTCATGAGATTCGGATAGCTTTTGGCCCAGTCCCTCGTCTTCAGCATGTTGGCGAGGCCTTGGCCGAAGTCGTCATCAGCACGGTGCGTCTTCATGATGTGACAGAAAGTCTTTAACTCCAGCTCAGCTGCTCGACCATCCACTCCTGTGGAAGCGCTCGGGCGGGATTTGAGATTGAGATATGGAAAGCGAAAACATCGATTAAGAACTATGGTGGTGTTGCCACCATTATTTAAAACATGGATACTTGGATCTGCATATAGCGAGACGACATTGTGAGTGCTAGGGATACGTGCATGGAGGGACCGAAAACATACATACCAGGAAGCTTGTTGTCAAACAGCTCCAGGTTCGACTTGACCCAAGTGCGCGCTCTTCGTTCCCGCACGTCCTGCTTCTTCGGCCATGTGTCCACCTTGTACAGCTTCGACCCGGCCATCCGCTTCAGGTCCCACATCCTCTGGTTCAGGTTCTGCACGGTGTCTTCAGCAAAGGCGGTGCACAGCGTGATGCAGGCCGCCTTGGTGCCACCGTACTTGTGACCGGGCAGGGAGCTCTCCACGAGCTTGAAACTGTGCGAAACCGGGCGCCCGTCGTCATCCGCGCCGTGCACCACCACCTTTCCTCCATTCTCGTCATAGCTCTGCAGAAACTTGCTGAGCCGCTTGCTCAGCCCCGCGCCGAAGGTCTCGCCATACTCCACGTAGCGATGCTTGATGTACGTGACGGTGCGGTCGACCTCCTGCGAGACAAGGGTGATGTCGACCTGATGTGAGGGGGGGGTAATAAAAGCAGTGACAAGATGCGAAGAAGATAAGTTATTGTCGAAATTGAAGAAAGTCCACAATCCAACACATGACAACAGGCAACCGACGGCATGAAACACAGAGACCAACGGGATATGGGACAAAAACATACCGACCGCTTCTGGAAAAACCTGTTGAGCGTGTTGAGCTCAGCAAGGATGTCAGCCAGAAAGTATAAACAGAAGTGGAACTTCAGCGTTTTGACCACTGGAACCAGCTTGTGGTTGTACTCAATGAGCACAGCGATTACAGCGCCGAGGACCCTGCAGAGTCGATTTACGGCATCTCCACGAGAAAGCCACCGGATGTTGAAGAGCCCTTGGTGCTTGAGGTTCGTGTTGTGGATGATCAGCTGGAGCTCCTTGAACCTCTCGTACCACGGTGCTGAACGCCCAACAATCTCGCCGAAGCCACGGATGACACTGTCGATGATCCAGAGGTCGGGGAAGGCGCTGGCCGCATCCTTCACTGCAAGGGCCTCACTGCGAGATACGAAGAATCATGCAAGGTCGAGCAAGTAGCATGGATAACAAATAGTCCGACATGCATTGCCTGCGAGGAAACGGACTCAATCCGTCGGAGCTGCAAGGGGGAAGACAAGTGTGGCTCAACCTGCATGAGCTCACCGATGTGCAATACAGTGACAGCCAACGAGATGCGGAATGCGCACCCGAAGACGCGCTACCAGACCGTTGTGCTCTCCTGTCATGACAGACGCCCCATCCGTGCTGATGCCCGCCACCTTGTGAAGTTCGATGCCGCAAGAGTCTAGGTGCCCGAGTAATGCCGTCTGAAGAGCTGCTGCGTCGCACTTGTCGAGAGAAAGCAGCGTCAGGAACTCTGTGACGACTCGCCGCTTCTTCAGGAACGTCGCGAAGACGATGAGATGTTTGCCACGGGTTCTGTCAGTTGACTCGTCGCAGCTCAATCCGATGAAGGGTGATGCGTGGATATGCTGCATCTGCTGTGCTTTCAAGTACGCCACCATTGCGCGCACCATTTCCTTGAAGCCGTATCTGCACTTGGAAGGGCATGGAAAAGCCGGAATTAACTCGATGATTGATACGACAGCGGAGCAGTCGCAATTTCACCAAGAAATAGTACCAAAAATCATGAGGCACCCCGGTACTTACTGCGTGATGTAGACGCCATAAGTCTGCTTCGGAATGTCCTCGACACCCTCCTCTGCCATGAACCCGACGAGCCGCGTGAACATGGCGATCGGGGCATCCTCCTTGCATATGAACAGCATAGTTCGAAGTAGACGAATGATCCTCGCGCCGTCAGGGTCGTGCTTCCCGAAGTCCTCCATTTTCTTCTGATTCTCGACCTCCTTCAGCAGCGCCTCTTGCTTCCTGACGGCGTTCTCGTGCCTTGTGCTCTCCTCATGCCAACGCATCGAGCCAATCTGGAGATCCCGTCCACCAGCACCGTTGCGCCCGTATCGTGCGTGGTCTTTGCCGTGCTCCATGCAGATACTGCAACGCAAGCAAGGTGCACCATCGTTAGTCTTATCCAGCACTAGCCAGGGGAATTTCGGTAACCAGTCGGCAGTGTACTTCCGTTGCGCAGCAAGATAGGCCTTCGCCATCTTCTCGGCGGGGGTTAAAGCAGCCGAAGGCAGTTGCTGTGGCACGGGCTCTGGCTCTGGTGGTGGCGGAGACTTAGGGGGAGGCGGCGCGAACGGGAGATAAGTCTGGTTGAAGCGACGCTTCTTTTCTGAGGCGGACGCAGGAGTTGAGGCAGGAGTTGATGCCGTTGATGTGGACGCTGGGGTTGATGCAGTGACAACAGGTACAACTGAAGGTTAGGCGACAGGACCAGCGTCAACCATAGCCTCCAAATTCCTGTCCCATTCCTCACTACTGAGAGAAGGCAGAGGCTGTGGCTCAACTGGAGCGGTAGCAACTCGACGGAGAAAGTCGAGCCCGCTAAGAGGGAGCGATCTAGGAGTTCGCAGATGGACAGACTCGTCGCCACCGCCATCGTCGGGCTCACTCCTGCCAGCCATGACGGCAGTGGCACGAGTGACGACGGGCGGCAGCGACGGCGAAGGTAAGCGGAGGTTTTCTTCTGCTAGGACGTTGTGAGAGATAGCTTTGGTGAAGGGGAGGAAGGGAAGGTTGAACAAGACGAGAGTTTCGTCTGCTCTTCTTGGGGGTGTGTGAATTGTGGGGTGCCTCGGAGTGGGTGAGGGAGTGACGTCGGTCGTGCATGCATGGATGGTGGCTAAGGTCGGCGTGCGGTGGTGAGGGAACTGCTGCCAGCCTTGCAGTGATGCTGCAGTCGTGACCAACCAGCGCGAAGGATGCTGCCAGCAGTGGCAAGGATGGCAGCATATGACGTGCCACTGCCTGGCGGTACGCGTAAAATGACGCGTATTGCGGGATATTGGGGCAAGGCCAGGTACAGGGTACAGGGGAAATCTATAGGTATACCCCCTGTACACTAACCCTCAGAGGGGTACAAATGGTTACTCTGATATAATCAGAGTAAAAAAAAACATCAATTTTTTTACTCAAGGCTCTTAGAGTAGTTTTCAAAAACGACTCTTATTTTCAGAGAAACAGAGTAAATTACTCTGATAAAATAGGCCCTGCTTGAGTGCCGCCCTGAGCTGCTTGTTCTTGTTCTAGGCATTGCCCCTATATAGTCTAGGGGATGTGTCAAACTTATCTTAGTATGTTACTGTAGACTATACACGTTTGTGCCTTAGAGAGTACAACTCCCTAGCTTGTATCACCTTGTACTCTCAGATTCTCAATTATTATTCAGTTCTGATAATCTGTACATAGGAAGATGACCTCATCTACGGAAACTTCTAGAATGAGGGGATTAACTACAAAAAGAAACCTAACCGAAGAGGCAGGAGCAGGAGAGGAGGAACAAGTGGAGCCAGCTTGTGGTCAGGAGATCAGCAGTCACAGATCAGAATGTCACATCAGAGTTCAGTCGGCCATGGCATGGAAACCGGCGGCCAGGCGAGAGAAGTCATCCTGAACACCCCATGTCGGTTAGTCGCATCCCAAGGCTTACTATCAGCACTGTCCGCGACAGCTCTCCATGAGTCAAACCACGTAAATATCAGTAGATCAGCGCGTGACATCGTCAAAACCGCAATGTGTGGATCCGTCAGACCGGGACGGTTAAGAGCATTTGCTGCATTCGCTGCGACGCAAGAATCAATCGGCTCGTCATCACGTGACGGCTGTCGCTGGCGTGCGACGCCTTGCGGGGAGCTCCGGGGCAGCGAAGCGAAACAGAGGCGTCCGCTGACCGACGCTGGGCGACGGGAGTGACGCATGCAGAGATCGATTCCGCCGACGGTTGATTCCGCTTCCGCGACAACAGCGGAGTAGCTGGGAAATCACATGATGTGACGGCGTGCTTCACCAGAGGAGAAAGCACATTACTTGGACTTTGAGCGCCAAGATCAGGCTCCTCCATGCATTCTGAATCCATCTGAAGCCCAGGGAAAGAGTCTGATGATTCGGGATGAAGCTTTCCCAACGTTGTCACATCATTGGAATCGCTGACGCTCGACGCAGGCTCTTCAGGTCTCAAAACTGGCTCGTCTGCCGTGACAGCTGCAAGCGACGGAAGCGGGACTTCTCCATTCTCCTGCAATGTCTCCGCATTGTAGCTGCTCCTCTTCAGGACGTACGGGGAATATCGGAGCGTCCTCCTGCTACGTCCCCTGCTGTCGACAGAACGGCCGATTGATGTCGGCGACAGGCTGCTGCCAGGAGCAATGCTCGTTCTCGTTGACTCCCGGAATTCTGGAGTCTGTAAAGCTGCATGCATTGTCACTTCCGCAACGTCAGGGGCGCTCTCGCTCGAGCTGTTCGATAGGAGAGAATCCAGATCACGACGGCACCGATTCATGGCTGCTTCACAATGCTAGGTTCCCAGGCGATAGTAGCTTTCCAACAGCAGAAATGATGGTAACGAAGGCTGGAGTTCTCTTCAGCGAGCTAATCTAGAAAGTCGGTCGTGGTGTCATCAGTCTGATTGGCTAGACAGAATTGTGGTGACGAGGAGGTGAAAGCCAGCTCTTTCTCGCCGACGAAGGACGCATCTACCAGTCAAGATGCACAGCCGACACAGAACAAAAAAACCTTACGAAGATGTGCTCTTCAACCCTAAGGAAATTGTAGACGGTTCAGCCAATGGCTTTTTGGCGGAGAACAACCCAGAGACTGTCGGCGCAGTCGAAAGAGGAAGGGACTGGGAGGGAATGACATCAGCAAGCACTGAGCAGCATTGGGGTCGTGCTGGATTGGGTCGGCTTTGGGACCAACTTGGGGGGTGGGAGGGAGGTGCGTAGGGGGGAACGAAAAGGCTGGCTGGCCTCGACTGGATTGCTGCTTTCCTTCGCGTGCTCTCCTGCCTGCTCCTGCCCGTGACCGATCTGCCTGCAGCTGTTCTGCCCTGCCCTCTCGGTTCTTTCCCTCCTGCCCAGCTCAGGCGTTAACTGTTCCCACACTCGGGCACACAGCCAAAATGTCGTCACCTCCCTCACCACCACCACCAGCTGTGATGGACCACAAGCTGGAGCCAGAGAAACGAGACGGATTCGGACGCTGGACGGATATTCGGCAAGCCTCTCGCTAAAAGAGTAATTACCCTTGATAACGAGAAATTAAGAAAAGCGTTTCCAGAGATTCCGTTATTTTACGGTGCGATATTTCCCCGAATCCGTCTAGCTTATGGAAACGATTTCGTGCGATTCCTCACGAGTACTTTTTTTTTTTGAATCCGTACGGGCTATACTTGTAGTAGGGCAATCTGTAGGGGCAGCGATACCCTCACCCTCACGTACCCCCCCCCCCCCCCCCCCCTTCCCAAGGGTTTTTCTGGGTGGGATTCCGTCTGTTAACGAGTAATCCAGAGGGGATTCCGTTCCCTTTCGGAATGCCCTGGGGTTTAGCGAGAGGCCTGATATTCGGACGGAGAGAGATGAGGAAGGAGGGGCCAAGTTGATAGCCATTGGTGGAATTCAAAATGCAGGAAACTGCATGAAGGTGCCACAACGACGCGCAGAAGTGGCACCCTCATTTTTGGTCAATCCTGGGCGTCCAGGTTCGAAAGGTGCCATCTAGACACATCTTCTCCGTCCGTTGCAGCTTCGGTGCCCCCAACAAGAAGAATGGACCATACGTCAGGCTTGATGCACACAATCTATGACGTCAGAAAGTGCTCTGATGTGTTGGCAAAACAGGTGGCAATGCAGATGGCACCCCCATGCCTGCCCGATCAATGTAAAACTGTTTGCACTGGTTCCATGAACACACCAATACATAAATACACAATTATAGCTCTTGGGAATAAGTGTAAACTAAGGTTGTAAGGTGCATTATGGGGAATTCTGGAGCTCGTGTCTGACGCTAGTATCATACAGGAACACCCGAGCTGGAAAAAATTGCCTACTAGAAGTGGCGTGAGTGCATCGCCCCCCAATGTACACCTCCCAAATCGCTTTGCGACAACTCTTTGCGGTTTTCTGTACATCGTCAACTCGTTTTGCGACTTTCTGCACCTTTGTAGGCGCACTACCCCCAAAGTCACTAGACCCAAGGTTGATCCCCAAACCCCGCAGCTCCTTAGACCACGGGTCAACATCGGGTCGGACCCGGGGTGCAGAATCCGCTCTTAGGGGCAGAATTCTGTAAATTCTGAATATCCAAAATAATTTATCAGTGATTCATAAAAATTTTCAGAATCCCTCGGTGACTCAGGATTTTTTTTTGAATAGATTGAACAAATTGTCCCTCTTAGAGCGTTTTCCAGCGATAGTTCGTCTCGTTGGTTGGTTTCGGTGGTGTGTGCCCACCGAAATGAACAAGTTTAGAGCCTTTCATCTCGGTGTTGCAATTTAGCGAAGACCCACTTCGCCACCCGTACGACTCGCAAACCACCCCTTCGAAAAAAACGCAACCAACCAGCCGAGGTCCACACGATTACACTTGCGAGCGGAAACCAGGCTGCGTCCGCCGTCCGTTTTAGTAATTTCCGATGTTGCGTCTAGGTTTGTTCTGATCTGACGGTCCATTCTGGTCGTTGAGCCTCGCAAAGTATTGTCGACAAACTTCGTGTTATTTTTCGTCAGATCACCGAGGCCCACCGAAACCCACCGAGGCCAGCTTTGTTGACCAACACCCCACTGAAACCAACCACGGAGACAAACTATCGTTGGAAAACGCTCTATGTGCACATAATTTGTTCTGCTAAAAGCGGCTTCAATGAAAACATCACTTTTCCACGAGGCAGGCACGGGGAAGCTGCTGAATCAGTGCATTGACGCCACACCACACTTCTCAGATTCATGCTCCGTGTACAGTGTACACATGTATTGACTCCACTTGTGCATAGGTCACTCCTCAGGTGATGAAGTAATGATGGTTGACACCATGGCTGCTTACTGACGTCAGCTACGAGATTCCTCGATAACAGCAGACTTTGCAATTTACTAGAAGAACAGTAATCGATGACATTACATTTTCACCTGCGCACTGCAAAAAGTATCAAATTCCCAGTGCGAGATTCCTCGCCATTATCTCGAAGAATAGGGAGCCACAAGTTCGCACTACCAAGCACATATGGCCTTCACCGAAGGTTGTGCGCGCCGAGCCGACATTCAACGAAAGCGGGTGATTTACATGCAGATTTGATGGCTGATGTGGCCGATGTGGCAGCCTGTCAGATGCTACACTTATGCAGAGAACTCCGCATTGCTCGCGTCACATATGCGGTTTGACCTTTCCTTAGTCCGGCCCCAAGCTCGCGCTAAGTGACAAGTGGCTGAGTGACATGGCGTGACACTTACACTCTTCAGCGGCGGCATGCACGCCGAGATGCCTGGCCCGGATACGAGATTGAAGGGAGGACGCCGCCAGCTTAGCACCGCGGGTACGGCGAGCATCGCGCTTCGCTTCCCCAAGGTGCGAGTCGGTATTTGACATACTTTTCTTCCGTTTTTGGCTCGCCCTTCGTCGTACCTTAGGTTTTTCTTCCATTTCTTGGCTGCGTTGGCGTATCCCTGCGTCTGCTACCGGTTCCTGCGAAGTGACACAGCGAAGAGGGTTTCAGGATGGCCGTCCTGACGCTCCTTACCGTGCTCTGCGCTCTAGGTAACTCACTCCTCAAGATTGTACACTGGTCTACTCATTTTTCCTCCCTGGGCACCACGGATCGTCGCTCGCTCATGCTTGGTTTTCTCGCACCCCACGCTTGGAGCCTCTTATTGATTGTGTTGGGTTGGATTGGCTTGGATTGGATTGGATTTGATTGGATTGGACTGGATTGGCTTGGGTTGGATTCCATTTGTGCTCTTAATTACCTGTATCCGTTCCTTCCCGAAGCACTCTCCTCCCCATACTCACGAGCTCATCAGGCGCCCGCAGACCCTGCTTTCACTCTCAACCCACCCACTCCCTCATCCGTCTTTCCGTTTTTTCGCTTCTCATCCCCTCCCCCTACCTCCATGTCCCCCCTCCGCTCATCCCAGCATCCGTCTGCGCCCAGCCTGTGCCCCGCCCTGGCCCTGTGGCCGCGGGAGGGGGTGGCGGAGTGGCAGCGGGTGGGGGCCCCGGGGGAGCAGCAGCGGGAGGGGGAGGCGGAGCAACAACAGGGGGAGGGCCTGGTGGTGCTGGGGGGCCTTTTCCGCGAGTGGCGCAGCAGGGGCAGGGGGGAAGCCTTGGGGGAGGAGAGCTGGGGGACCTCTATGGTGGGCAGCCCGTTCTTTCCTCGCTCTCGTTTTCTTTTCCTCCCCGCCCGCATCGTTTGCGGCCTTCACCTTCTCGCTTTCGCGTTCTCGTTGTTTGTGCTCGTTGTCTTCTCTCTTCCACAGTTATCTGAGTGCATCAACTAGAGCAGGTAACAGGGATAATCCGTGTTTCCCTTCCGTCCTATCCTTGATTGACACGTGGCAGCCCATCTGGAAGCTGAGCTCAAAGGTCAGGGAAGTGGTTATATGGGAGGGGATATGAACAGTGACGATGATGAAGGGCATTTGAGCGGTGATGATGCGGAAGGGCTCATGCACATCTACGCCTTCAGGTGATCAGAAACCAGCATGGCGCAGAGCAGTCTGGTTAAACCCTGCCAGGATTGCCTTCACACGGTGGTACCTCTGATCACTCCCGGCTGTTGTGATCAAACCCTCTGGCACCAGCAGAACTAGTTGCCTGAACACACCTCACGTTTTCTTCCCATCCTTTTTTTCGCGCCTCCCCCTGCTTTAATATTTCATCTTCTCCGTGCTTGTCACACTCTCTTCCCGTCTTCCCCTCTCAGCATTGACAACTCCACATTCAACCTCCTCTATGTGCTGACTGTGAAACATCTTCCGGAACAAAGCCCTCCTACCAACGCCACCATCACTGACAGCCAGAACAACACTGTGCTCTTCATCCCCGCCACGTGGCGCGAAACGACTGGCCAGCCAGGGTTCAAGATGGGAGGTGATGACATGATGAATTGCACTGGTGGGATGTGTTACAGTTATGCTGCTGCTGGCTACTGGCCCAGTGTGAATCCAACACTTGTTGATCTGGTAACCAGGATTGTTGCCGATCCTGAGTCGTACCGAGGGCATGTGGCCTTGCCATCGGGGGAAGATGTGAGCGGAGAGTTTGAACTAGGCATGTAGCTGTGCTTTGTTGCTTCTGCGCCTGGGTGCTGGATCTGGAACATGTTTCATCATTCCATGGTGAATGTAGACATTGTGGAGGAACTCATGGATGTAACAAGAATTGTATCATACTATGAGTGTGTGTGTGTGTGTGAAGATGGTAACAGAACTCGCCTTCTACTGTACTTGTCAAGTGCATTTTTGTTATGAATGAACAAGCAGAGTAGCGCGGAAATGAAAAACGAAGTGTTCACTCAATGAATGACGATACAAGCAGGCCTGTCGTTATCAGGGTATTTTACCCTGATTCCCTGATTTCACAGGGTGTTTTTTCGGCCAACCCTTAATTTTCAGGGTTGGGCTTTTTTGAACCCTAACCTCTTCAGGGTTGTTTGTCTGTGAACACTGAGAATTTCAGGGTTTGCGTTATCTCAACACTGAGTTTTCATGGAGTAACGCGTACGAACCGTGAGTGCGACATCCATGTGGCTCACAATGCGGAAATTTAGGCGAAGTCCCCAATCTCCAGAGACATTCCCCCCCACACGCAATAACCTAAAAAAATTGGTGAAGTCTATCAGAAATTGAGAAGTGAATGAATGGATAGAGTGAGAGTACACACAGATATACCTAAGTGTTGTACTCTCTAAGAGGCTACCCTATACAGTCTATACAAACATGACAAATACACATGTTTGACACACCCCCTAGACTGCATAGGGGAATGCCCTAAACAAACAGCTCACGGCGGCACTACTAGTCCAACCTCTGAGACAAGGGTCTGAGAGACCAGTCAGAAGGAGTACAAACAAGGCAAGAACAAGAGCAAGGCGGCACTACTAGTCCAGCCACTGGGAGAGGACACAAGTCCAGTCTGAGTATACGTATCAAGGACAGTACAAAGTCAAGGTCCTAGCAAGTGAGAGGCTACAGGAACTAGACCAAGCTGTACACAGTGCCGCTGATGATCTTTAGGCGCAAGCGCTTTCGTAAAGATATCAGCCGTGTTGGCACCTGAGGCCAAGTGTACTACGCGAGCCTGACGTCGCTGCTGTAGCTCACGCAGGAGGAAGTACCGCAGCTGAATGTGCTTTGCTCTGCCCTCGAGTCGAGGCTCCTGACACAGGAGGATCATGGCCCTGTTGTCAGCGAACATGACCGGGGCAGAGCTAGGCCGCTCACCTAAGTCAGTGAGCAAGAAGGTCAGCCAGCGGAGCTCCTGTGCCGCCATGGCACCAGCGTAGATCTCAGCCTCACAGCTGGACTGCGCAACAGACGAAGAGCGGGTAGCTCTCCACGAGACGGCACCTGAGCCAAGGCTGAAGCAGTAGCCCTGGGTAGACCTGAGTGTCTCAGCGTCGTCTGCCCACGAAGCGTCTGTGTGTCCAGTAAGGACCACTGGCCTGCGTCCTCCTAGCACTAACCCCATGCCCGATGTACTAGCAAGATAACGCAAAACCCTCTTAGCGGCAGACCAGTGCTGCGGTCGGTGTCTGCCTGTGGCCACAAAGCGAGCTAGGATGGTGAGAGGGTATGCGAGATCTGGGCGAGTGCAAGTCATCAGGTACATGAGGCAACCCACCAGCTCTGCGTAGGGGCCGCTGGGCTCTACCAACTCCTCAGACACTGGAGCGGAGAGTCTGTGGTCTACAGGCAGAGGGGTGGGCTGTGCAGAGGAGAACTGAAGGCTGAACCTCTGAAGGACCTGGCGCACCAAGTGTGACTGAGTCAGGGTGATGGTGCGCGCAGCTCTGTCCCTGGAGATCTGCAAGCCAAGGTAACGGCGCAGTTCTCCAAGGTCAGTGCACGTGTGTCTTTTCAGCAGCTCTGCCTTCACAGAGGCCATTGCGTCCCTGTCAGCTGTGGCAAAGACCAGGTCGTCGACGTAAACAAGGATGTAGAACGGAGTCTGGCCAGCACGAACGAAGAGTGAAGGGTCTGCGGAAGACAGAAAGAACTGCAGGTCAGCAAGCGTAGCACGGAGAGTGTCGTGCCACTCACGGGGAGCGTGGCGCAGGCCGTAGACGGGGCGCCGCAGGAGCCACTGGGTCCCAGGAGGGAAGGTGCCAGTGAAGCCCTGAGGGCGCCGCAGGTAGACCTGCTCGTGTAGGCTGCCCTGAAGGAAGGCAGTGGAGAAGTCGAGGGAGTGAAGCTCGTAGTCACGCTGAGCAGCTAGGTGTAACAGAACCCGAAGAGTAGTCATCTTCGGGGTCGGAGCAAAGGTCTGGAAGAATTCCACCCCCTCGCGCTGACTGAAGCCTCTAGCGACATAGCGCGCCTTGAAGACAGGCGGCTCTCCAGGAGGGCACTTCACCTTGAAGAGCCAGCGGCCATCGACTACGTTCACCCCAGGTGGGGGAACTGCGTCGACGAAGGTGCCGGTGGATCTCCAAGATGCCATCTCCTGCTCCATGGCAGCTATCCACTGCGAGGCCCAGGGTCCCGAGGTCGCCTCAGCGTAAGTGCGAGGGGTCGGGATGTCAAAAGCGTCTGGGTCACCCTCAGGGACTAGCAGCATGGAACAGAGATGGGGAGCAGCCTCGGAGAGGAAAGCAAGCTCGAACTGGCGGTCCTCCAGGACGTCACTGCCGAGGGCAGAAGCACCCCCGACAGACGGAGGACAGGCAGGGTTAGAGACCAGAGCGGAGGCGTAGTCAAGGCGGCGGGTAGAGGCGAAGTCAGCGACAGCAGCGACAAGAGCGTCAAGGCACGAGGTCGGAACAGACGGGTCGGTAACGAGAGAGGCAAGGACCCGAGGAACAAGGGGACGAGCGGCACGAAGGTAGTCAGACAGCGGGGGGGGTGCAACAACAAGGGAGGACGGGGGAGGCGACGGCAGAAGGGGAGGACGAGACGCGTGGGAACGAAGCAACATAGGGTGGGAGCGCAGGACAGGCGAGGCAGGACGAGCACGGGAGGGACGGTGAGACCAGACGTGCGATGGAGGAGTCGGGTCAGGAGACAGAGGAGGGGACACAGGAGGGGAACGAGGGGGGAGACGGGCCGGGAACGAGTCCGGCGGAGGGAAGACAGGGCCGTGGACAGGAAGAGGAGGAGACGGCCGGGGAGGAACCGACGCAGGGTCGGAGGACGGAAGGCCGAGCAGGCGAAGGGCTGACACCGGCGGGGACTGCTGATGCGGCGGCACAACGGCGACACCTGGACCGCAAGCTGCTCCTCGGCTACCACCGGCACACTCCACACCAGCACCCCCAGAGGGACCACCTGCAGGGCTACCGGGACGAGCACCCCCAGAGTCAGCGAACGGGTGCTGCGACGGCAGCGGCGGCGGCGGCAGCGACAACGACGGCTGCAGCGGCGGCAGAGGCGGTGGAGAAGGGGACTGGGGAGGGGACGCCAGGGGAGGGGCGGCCGGCGAGGACTGAACAGGAGGGCCACCAGAGTCAGAAGACTCCTAAACCGGGTCCACCGACGGAAGGGGGGTGACGTGGGACACACCAGAGGGGGCGGGACGGGGAGGAGGAGGAGGAGGGGCAGGTACTACCGGGGAAGGAGTGACCAGAAACAGGGGGGGGGTAACCGGGGGACCACGGTGGGGGAAGCGACGGTAGTAGGAGACGGACTCGTCAAAGGTGACGTCACGAGAGTGAAAGAAGCGGTGAGACGGCGGGTGGTAAAAGTGCCAGTCGAACGCGTCAAGGGGAAAACCGAGGAAGACGCAGGGAAGGGTGCGGGCAGTGAGCTTGTCCGTGCCGGAGGCACGGACGTGAGCAAGGCAGCCCTAGACGTGGAACGCAGACGCGTCACCAGGAGACCCAGTCCAAAGACGAGTCGGCGAAACCTGCGGCTGCTGAGGGTGCGGCCACAAGTTAAGCTGGTGAGAAGCGTAGCGCACAGCGAACGGCCACAGAAAATGGGGTGCACCGGCGTGGATCATGGAGGTGCGAGCCACCTCCATGACCAAACCTATGCGTCGTTCAGCGACCCCATTCTGCTGTGGGGAGTCCGGTAGGGTGAACGTCTGGGTGATGCCCTCCGCACGACAAAAGCGACCAAAAACACCTGAGGCAAACTCGCCACCACGGTCGGAGTGGTGGAGTCGCGGAAGAAACACCGAGAAGCGCCAGAGTCCAAGGTGAAGGAAAGCAAAGCAGAGGCGTCTGGCGACGGAACGACGGCGGAAGCACCAAGACTACACAAAGCAGGGGATCCTACGCCTGATGCAGCAGGGGAGGCTAAGCTAGGCACACCTACACTAGGCAACAGTGAGTAATAAGCGGGAAGCACATTAGAGTCATCAGCATACATTACATGCAGAGCAGCAACAATGGCATCCATGTCCATATCAAAAATCTGAATCTTACGACTAAGCAAAGTGTGCCAGTCCGGGAGGTCTGGCGACGGGCCGAAGCGCTGACGAAAGAGGTCGTCCAGGCGACGAAAACAGCGGGGAGTGGAGTGACCGAGCCTACCGCAACAAAACCGCGGCGAGGACCGGTCTGGATCTGGTACTGACAACGCCCGCCGCCAGAGCCACCACTCGGCACACCACCACGCGCCCGGCCACCGCCAGCGCCGGGCCACCCGGGCGGGAGGACACTCGTCTGCCGCGTCTGCGACGGCTGCTGCGGTTGCTGCGAAGGCTGCGACTGCGGCGGCTGCTGCAACTGCAGGGGCGGCGGCTCAGCTGGACTGGGCAGGGTCCCCTCGTCCGCTCCAGCACCAGACGACCCGGCCCCACCACTACCCCCTCCCGCACCCCCGCCGCCGCCGCCGCCGCGCCCAACCTTGGGGCGGCGGCCCTTCCCCGAACGAAACTGCGCTGCAGCAGCAGTCTCAGCCACTGCGGCAGAGCCGTCGGAGAAGGTACACTGGGCGGGGGCACAACCCTGAAAGATAGGGACCGGCACGACACCGCTCGTCTGGGCGATGGAGCGGTGACGGGTCTCTATCACAGTTAGGGTGTCTACAAAGTCAGTGAGGGTGAGGTTTGCGGGGTGAATGCTAAGGAAGCGGTCGCGGGCGACAGCAAGGCGGTCAGGGAGGCGGGTGGCAAGCAGGTAGAGGGTAGAGGTAATGGGCGGCTGGTGGGCTCTAAGCTGTGCATCAGTGCAGGCTGCACGCCAGGTCTCATCTATCGAGCGCAGGTGGGCAGCGAGGTTTGAGACAGTGGGGAAAGATACAAGGTCAGGAAAGAGCATCGGGAGGAT